CTCCCCCCTGTCCCTCCCCCTCCCTCCCCCCTCCTCGCCTCCCCCTCCTGTCTCCCTCTCTCCACCTTCATTCCCTCCCCCTCCCTCCCCCTCTCTCCCCGCCTTCCTCTTCACTCTCTTCCTTAGGCTTTTACAGAAAAGAAATCCTGAGCTCAGAGCAGTGTTCCCCATGGGGTCGTGGGCGGTGGGGACCCTGGAAGACACGGCTCAACCCTCCCAGCTGCAGGCAGGCGCGAGGAGGGAGCACTGTTCTCTGTAATGTCGCGGTCATACTAGGGATGGAGGGGGAGGGAGGAGGAGGGACAGGGGAGAGAGAGGGGGAGGGAGGGGGAGGGACAGGGGGAGAGGGAGGGGGAGGGGGAAGGAAAGGAGGGGGCTGGAAGGGAAGGAGGGAGGGGGAGGGAGGGGGAGGGGAGGGAGAGAGGGGGAGGAGAAGGAGAGTTTCCCACTCACGGGTTTTTCGGCCACCCCGCACTGGGTGAGCTGGGAAGATAGGACAGCAATGAGTCACAAGGACAGGGCTCTGGTTTATAAAGTGCCTTCGCTACATTATTTCACATCCACAAAACAGGATGGGGGGTTTCTCAGCGGTGCAGGTGTCACCAGCCCCGTTCTACAGACAAGGAAACCGAGGCTCGGAGAGGAGGACCTTGCCCAAGGTTCCAGCCCCTGGGGCCTCGGGGTTCCCTGGGCACGGACACCGGCCACCCCCCCCCCAGCAGGGCCCAGCAGGGACCCCGAGGGCGGCCCTGGGACGCGAGCCTCTCCCTCATGCCCCCCTGAGGATCCACGCGTCCCTGGGAAGGAGGCCGGGAGGGGAGATGTTCCCGGAGTGGGGGGTGAGGTGGGGGCGGGGGACGCAGATCTGAGGTTGATTTGACCTAATATGCGCCCGAAAGAAGCCACGAGGCAGAAGGCACAGCTGGAGGCCAGAACACGGGGGCTGCTACAGCTTCTACTTCCGAGGGAGAAGGGTTGTGGGGCTCCCTTGACCCCCGCTCTGAGCCAGAATCAAGAAATCCCGGAGGAGGCAGAGACCTCGGGGCCCCCGGGCCGTCTGAGTGCCTCTTTCCGAGGGTCCCAGCCCTGCCTCGAGCATCCCCACTCGCCCCAGCGGCCAAAACCGTGCCTGCATTCAGTAGGCACCCAATGAATGCCTGCTCGTGTGCGCTGGCTGGTATCTGAGGGGCCCCCTTCCATGCAACAGAGGACCCTGGGAAGCAGAGGCCGTGCCGGGGCGGGTGGCTTAATCTCCTTGTGCCTCAGTTTCCCTATTTGTACGACGGGAGCAAACATGATAGAGGGACGTTGAGGACCGGGGAGGATTCAGGGCTTGTCCCCAAAGTGCTTGGAACAGGATCCGCGTGCTGGGTTCAGTAAGTCAGAGCTGCTCTTCGGGACCCATCCCCGCAGAGCCCCCGGCAGACGGGTGGTCCCCACAAGCAGCCCTACGTGGCGGGTCCCGTTAGGCTGGTTGCATTACGGTTATTTATTTTAGATCGTGAAACTGAGGCCCAGAGAGATCAAGTAAGGTGCCCAAGGCCGCCCAGCTAGACCGTGAGGGAGCTGGCTTCAGGCCCCACCTGCTCCTGGTGGGGCGGGGCCCGGCCGGCCACCTCGCCCTTCTCCCACAGGGGTCCCCTGGCGGTCCTGAGAACCCCGCACCCGCTCAACCCCAGCAGGGCGAAGCCAGCTCGGAGACACCCGTCTGTGAATAATAACTAATACCGGCTGTCAATCACTTAATTTTCACGCAGCCCATTCAATAGATGAGAGACTGAGGTCCACAGGGGCAAAATTACTCGTCCAGGGTCACGGTTAGTGTTCAAACCCGGGATTTCTAGCCCGTAGAACTCCATTGCCTAGTGCAGTACAACGGTGGAGACACGAACTCAGGAGTGAGATAAGCTGTGTGACCCTGGGCAAGTAACTCGGCCCCTCTGGTCTTTAGTTTCCCCTTCTGCAATATGGGATAATAGTGCCCGCTTCAGAGAGGCCTTGGGAGGATCAGCTCCGTTCATGCGCACAAAGCACTTAGAGCGGGAACGGGCAGAGTAAGGCCTGGGGGCTTACCTCAGTTTCCCCCAGCAACAGATTCTGAGCTGAGGACTTGTGGACAGCTGCTCCAGGGGAAGCCAGCAGGGGGAAGGAGGGTCACCGGAGGTACCACCTCCAGTCCCCTAGCCCCACCCCCTGATTGTGGAGGGCTCTGGAGTGTGAGCTACGCCCCAGGGTTCTTGCCTCGAGGCAGGGGGCCCCCCGGACCCACGCACTGTCAGCTGCCACCTAAGGGCTGTCCCAGAGTGATGACAACCCCCAGGCAGGTCAGGCTTTCTGGCCTGGGGCCAAAGCACTTCCGGCAGGCGGTCCACGAGCCGAGGCAGAGGCTTGAGGAAAGTGCCGGCCGTCAGGGGCCAGGCACCCGGAAGAGGAGGGTCGGAGCCCTGACACCCAGGATGCGTGGGCGGAACCCGACTGGGTGATCACTGCCCTATAGCTCTTGCGACTTTACCTGCTAGGACCTCACAGCAAACCTGTCTGACCTGTGGTGTTGCCCATGTTTCACAGATGGAACACCACTGGTTTGGGCAAAGTCACACAGATTTGGGAACCAAATCTCTAGACTCCTGATTCAGTTGCTGCCTGCAGGGCCTAAAGAAGAGGGTGTTAACTCGGGGAGGGAGCTTGGGGAGGTTGTGTCAGTCGGGATGTCTTGGGCAGCAAATAACAGAGAAACCTCAATTCCAACAGCCTTGATAATGATGAAGGTTTATATTTTCCATAAGAAGTCCTGCGGTGGAGGAACTTCTGAGCAGGCTGGTTCGGCAGCTCAGTGGTGGCGTCCGGACCAGGGTCTCTCCCTGTATGTCCTCTGCCACCCTCAGTACGGATCACTCCCCTCACGGCCCCAAAATGGCTGCAGCAGATCCAGTCATCACATCCCACCAGGACAAACTGCAGCCCAAGATGAGCCAGCCATATCTTCCTCGTGTTTCTCTCTTTTTCAAGAGCAAACCAAGATTCCCCATAACCCCCCACTGGAACCCCTTTCACACCTCACTGGTTTCAGTTGGGTCACACGCGAGGGGCACAGGACAGCCATTGACTGGCTCAGACCAAGGGTCAGCAAATCTGGCCCCAAGTCCGCCTGTGTAAATAAAGATTTATTGGTACGCAGCCACACCAGTTTTTTTTTTAACTTTTATTTTTGAGAGAAAGAGAGACAGAGTGTGAGCGGGGGAGGGGCGGAGAGAGAGGGAGACGCGGAATCCGAAGCAGGTTCCGGGCTCCGAGCTGTCGGCACAGAGCCCGACGCGGGGCTCGAACCTATGAACCGTGAGATCGGAACCAGAAGTGAACTCAGAGGCTTAACTGACTGAGCCACCCAGGCGCCCCACACACCCATTTTTTTCACATATGACTGAGTTCGTGCTACGACAGAGCTGAGCAGTTGCATCTGGTCCGCGAAGCCCGGAAGATTCACTGTCTGACTCCACGGAAAATCAGTTTGCTGACTCCTGGCTACATTAATTGGGATTCACCCCTGTGCTGGGCTGAGTCACTGTCCCTGAGGGATGAACACTGAACAAAACAATAGTCTGTGAGTGAGACAGAAGTGGATGGCGGCCGGGTCACCGCTAAGTCGGCCTCAAGTACTTTGCTACTCGACGCACGGTCCCTAGACCAGTGGCAGGGAGCCAGGCTCGAACCCCACCGCCGCGATCCTGAACCAGAGCCCGCACTTGACAAGGTCCCCAGGGCTCTGCGACAAGCCCTCGCCCTGCAGACAGGGGAAGGTGTGGCCCAGCTCACGCCCTGACGGTGACCTTGACCAGCTGTGTGGCTGTGGCAGGTCATGGCCCCCCTCGAGGCCCTTGGTGCCCTCACCTGCTGGACGTCTGTGTTCGAATCCTCGGGCTGAGTTAACAACCCCTCCCCCACCCCCTCCCCCACCCCGCCAAGCTGGGTGGCTTAGAGCCCAGTTCTGGAGGTCCGAAGTCTAAAGTCAAGTGTGGGCAGGGCCATGCTCCCTCCGAGGCTGCGGGGGAGGGTCCTTCCTTACGTCTTCCAGCCTCGGGTGGGCCCCAGGTGGCCCCTTCTTTTTTTTTTTTTTTTAAGTTTATTTATCTTGAGAGAGAGACAGAGAGGGTGAGTGGGGGAGGGACAGAGACAGAGGGAGACAGAGAACCCCAAGCAGGCTCCGCACCGTCAGCGCAGAGCCCGATGAGGGGCTCGAACTCCCAAACCGTGGGATCGTGACCTGAGCCGAGATCAAGAGTCAGACGCTTCACCGACTGCGCCACCCAGGCGCCCCACCTCCCCTGCTTGTAAGGACACCAGTCCTGCTGGATTAACGCCCACCCTAATGACCTCATCTTAACTTGGTTACATCTGCACGGTCCCCATTTCCAAGCAAGTTTGCTTCCCTCCCCCCCCCCAGCCGCCCCACCCCGATCCCAAACCATCAGGCTCCAGCTACACGGACCTCCTCCTTGCTCCTTCCAGAACATGCCAAGCCCACCAAAGCCTCGGGGCCTTGCTGTGCCCTCTGCCGGAATGCTGTTCCCATAGAGACTCCAGCTCACTCCCTTGTTTCATGCGGATCTCCGTGCAAACGTTGCCTCCTCGGAGAGGACGGCCTGACCCCACGGCTAGAAGTGGACGTACCCACCCCCGCCAGGCCCGACACTCAGTCACATTCGATCCCGTCAAACCTGTGACTGTCTTCATGGAATTCACAACTGGCTGGAATTGTCACATTCAATCGCATACCTATTGGCTGTCGGTGCCCGGACCGGGGCCTGGCTCATAGCAGGCGCTCAGTAAAAATTAACTACATGACTGAACAGGCCGCTTTCCTGCCCACCCCTCTGGGCTCTTCGGGAACGCTCGGGAATCCCCAGGCCCCTGCATTAGAGGCCTGGCAAGCCTCACCACGCCGTGGAATTTTCCAGATAAAACTATTCCTTTGTGCGTCAACAGAGCCTTTAATCTCAGCTCATCGCTTCTGTCCTAAAGCCACCAGGTAACGTGAGAGGGGCCCCTCGGGAGAAAGCGTGTCTCCCCACCCAACGCTGATAGATGTCCAGCGGCCAGCGGCCTGCCTCCACCAGGGCCCTGTGTCAGTCCCCCGCCCGCCCCCCAAGCTGCAGGACGGCCCCTCGGTGGGTAGGGACACGCCCTGCGTATTGACCCTTTACAATAGCATTACTCATTTTCTTTATTATTATTATTATTATTAAAATGTATACAGGTAACCCACATGCGCTGACACTAAGAAGCTCCAAAATCTCTAGACTGTGATGGGGGCGGGGGGGGAGATCCTCGCCTTCCCGATTCCAGCCCCCAGTGCAGAGGTGACAGACAGCCACAGGCAGGGGTGCTGGGCACCCTTCGGAAGGGCCAGATTCGTCTGTCTGACAGATGCTGGCGTAGGGCCCCCAGTGATCCCCTGAGGGTGTCACTATCATTACACCCCTTTTACAGACAGAGAAACTGAGGCTCAGAGAGGGACAGGGCTAGCCAGTGGTAGAACAGGGCCGAACTCAGACGGTCTGGCTCTGACCGTCACCTGTGACCGCTATGCCAGCGCCCCCTCTCAACAGAGAAGCTCTTGATTTTTTTTAACTCTTTTTTCTTCCCTCCCCCACCCCCTTTTCCGTTCCGTACTGTTCCGCGACTTGCTTTTTTCTTATCGCCGCTTGCCTAGAAGATAATTTCACGCCAAGCACACAGAGGTCACTCCACTGCTTGTGAGCCCATGTCGTGTTCCGCGGCCCTCGACACGCAGCCCGGAACGATCATTGTGCCCGTCTGGATCCAAACGGCCCATGTGTGACCCCCTTGAATCCTTAGGACGTAATTCGTTGGGATGCGCACTGTAGTTTGCATGTGACACACAGCAGGCACTCTGGGGGAAGCCAGTGAGATCTGGGCTTATTGGGCAGGAGGTCTGAGCTGCCCTGTCACCCACAGACTCTACATCCGAGCTTGTCAGGAGGGGAAACGCGGGCCCCAGCGCCGTGGTCCGAAACGTCCCTGGTTCCGAAAAAGGCTCTGGGGGTGAAACATTCGTCCTACTGGTCGGCTGCACATCTAAGGGCCCCAGAGTATCAACCTTTCAAAGCCCCGCGCCTCATCCCCACCGTCGTGCCCGGTAATTCACAGAGCGGCCTGAGGAACACCACGGTTTGTCCACACCTCCAAACAAAGGCCAACTAGGAGTGTCCCGGGAGCAGAGGAACAGAACCCAGGCCTCAGTCCATGGCGGGTATCGAATGCTTTTCTCAGCTGACACAAAGGGGGTGAGGAAGGGCCCTCTGCCTCCCGAGAGTGACTCACCCCGTGAAAACCGGATTGTTCCAAGCGTCCAAATCTGCAGAACAGGCTCCAGGCCTTGGGCCTTGTCCTGCTTCCCCTGAGCCAAACATTCCAGCATCTTCCTCAGGTACCTGTGAATACTGTACTGTCTTCTCCAAACACAGCCTTTGTTTTTGAAAGCTCATAAAGAGGAACCCGGCAGGTCAGGAGACAGCCGGCCGCCCACTTCCTTCCCCGGGACGGCAGTCGGCCAGCTCCCAAATGCCTCCCAGCACGTGCCTCCTGCCCATGACCACACTCCAGGCTGCCTCCGAGCACGTAGCGGACCAGGACCCCCGGCGGGCGGCCGAAACGTCCTCCGTCGGAGGACTGCCGGCCTCCTGGCCACCGGGAGGGCCAGGCTGCAGCAGGGGGGGCTTTCTTGCAATCGGGAGCGGGTTGACTTCCCACAGGGGAGAGATGCTTCCCGAGCAGTTTTGTTAGCACCAGGCTCCGGAACGCCTTGTCCATTCTTTTCAGGAAGATTCTGCGCAGCCCCGTGCCCTCCATAGAGGAGGAGGAAGTCGCCCGGTTTGTGGGTGGAGAAAGGGCTGAGCTGTGTGTTGATGTGAGGGAATCCGCAGGGCAAGCCTGAGATGCCACGCTGGGCCTCGCGGGCTTAGCCGGGTCGCCGCCGTCCTACTAGGTCGGGATCGTCCGTAAGGCGTCCCATAAAAGCCGGGGCAGGTGGCCTGTGTCCGTTTTCAGCCACGAGGGGCACTGGGAGGCGAGACAGTGGGGAAGGCTGCCGCTAACAGCCGGAGACAGCTCTGTGTGCGCCGGGCCCGGTCGGAGGACATCGTGTGCGTGAACATCTCACCCAGATGACGACCCACCGAGGGACAGGCTGCAGTGACTGCCACCTTCACCGATAAGGCATCCGAGGCACAGAGCAGTTGAGTCACTACCACAAGCAGCTGGAAAATGGCCGAGCGGGGGTCTGAACTCGGGCGGGTGCTCTTGACTCTCTTGAGTATTGTGGGATCGTCCCGAAGCCAAAAATATTGGCCACGAGTGGGTTCTCTGTGACAGACACTGTGACTGACCCATCACCTGTTCCCAGCCTTTTCTCCCCCAGCCTTTTCTGCTTTCCCGGGCTCGCCTGGCAGTTCTGGCCAATGAAACGCAGGCAGAAGGCAACCGGGAGGTTGTGGCAAATGTTCTGCTTCTCTTGATTTAAAAAAAAAACAAAACAAAAAAAACATCAAAGGTAGCTGATGTCCCCTGCGCCCTTTTTTCCTCCCTTGAGTGTGGATGTGATGCCTGGAGTCATGGCAGCCGCCTTGTGATCTGAGGGAAAGGCTGTGAGAAGCACAGGCGGTGAACCTGGGAAGACCTGAGCTTTGGAACCAACTCTCCCGCCTCCCAGACGTCTTTTTATATGGGAAAATGCGACTCCGTTTGCAGCGCTGGGTTAGGCCCTCTCTTGTCCGCAACCCAAACTCCTACCTGATGCTCTTCTTTTTTCTCCTCCTACCTCTTCCCTTTTCCCACGGGAAAGTAAGTGGTCCTTCAAAGTCTGTACCTTGCCAAAAGTGAGGGACACGGAGAGGCCTGCCTTCCGAGGATTTGCTGGAACCTCATCTTCTGCCGTCTTCCCAGCTATCATTTTCTAAGCATCCGCTCTCTGCCAGGTGGATGCTGGGTACCGCATGTATACCGTGGGCTCCGTATCCATCCTTCCTGCAGTGCTCTTAACGGCCTGGAAGGGCGGCCACATCTCCCTGCGTCTTACTGAGAAGGACACCGAGGTGCTGGGGCCTTAAGAATTTGCCTGGGGCGTGGGGAGGGGTTGGCGCCTGGGGGGCTCGGTCGGTGGAGCCTCC